TAAAGCAAGACCGACTCTCGCGAGACTTCTGAGCCTGTGGGCCGAGGGCTCCTGCAATTGCAAGTGCGGTATTTCCCCCACAGACCACCAGGGCGGCCGAGAATACCTTTGTTCAACCTGAAATGACTCATTTAATCATCCAAAACGTTATGGAACACATTAATTAACTGAAAAATGTTGCATAGTATGCCTTTAATGCTTGTTGCATTAGTGGCTGAATTCAAGTGGTACCAGAAGAGGTTGTTATTAGTTAAAAATGCAAAAAATAAAATAAAAATGCATGTAAGTTATAATTTCCTTTTACTGGTTGTTTAGTTTATACATAATAGTAAAAAAATTAATAGTAAAAAAATTTTATTGATGTTAAAGGTAGAGTGGAGGATTTTCTCAAATTTTTGAAAAGACCCACCCTCTCCACTTAAAAAAAAATACACATACACAACCCTGTACTCCATCCTGAGAAGGAACGCCTATTAAACACGTGCAAGAGCATGCACGGGCCCATTTCTGCTCGTGCAAGCTCATACAAGATTACTGTCCAAAAGAAGAATTTTCCACTATATCAGACTTGCCACCGGTAAGTGAAAAGAGGGGTGAGCACATAGGACGGCCTTACGTAAACATATCACCAGAATGATTCACAATTAGGAGGACCATTTATTTTGATGATCCACCCAGAAATAGAACATCCTCCACTTTAACTTCACGCTAAATGACACAAACCTATCATATAGTTCTGGATTTCAAATATTTTAAGAAAGTTTGTGTTTCCCAATGTGGAAAATGTTCCTACCAGAGCACAATGAAGACTCTGCTCTGCTGAAGTCCTTATTTCACAAGCATCAGCGAGAGGAAAGTCCACACTCTGTCTCAGATCTTCAAGCCACGACTGAATGGATTTGACCAAACCCTGAAATATTTCCAAATCATTTGTCACCGAGGTGGTCGCCTCTTGTAAGCCACTTCCGATGTTTGTGAGAAGGTTGTGGTATCGTTCTAGCAGTTCACTGCTCTGATCCAGAAGCAAAGACTGAGGAAGGTTGCTGCTTCTTAAAGATGATACAAGCTTAGCTATAAGCTCTGTCCTCCCCCTGCAAATCACAGAGAGAAGAGTCACAGTGAAATTAACTCTTAGTGTGACCAGGTGGAAGTTGGCGACTTTGTCCTGTGGGAGTTTCTTAAAATCAAAGATGAGCAAAAAGGATTTAAAAAAATCTATTAACTGATTCATATTCTGTTTATTACATCTGCTTAATGATTAATGAAAGTTCTGAATTTAGTTAATGTATATCTACACCAACATTTTTTCTAATAGTGTTAGTATATCTGATCATTACAAAATGTTTTATCAAATAACAATAAACATTTTGTGTATAAAAAAGGGATTTATGCCAAAGTGGATCTATCTTAAGTTGAATATCTATTTAAATTGGAATAAAAATCATCCAGATTGCAGATTTATTTAAACAAAATATACTAAAAAATACATATTTTTTGTTAAATTCCTGAAACTTAAGGCAGTATTATGAACTACATGGCACATTTGAATGAAAAAATAACAGTTTTAATGAATAATATTGATAAGTTATAACTGAAATACGTTTGATGTGAGCCTTAAAAACTTCAGAGCATTTTACCTTTCATGAAGAATTTCCTCTTGCAGAAGTGAACGATCCTTCACCTTCCGTGCCTTTTCCTCAGCTGTGTGAAGCCACTTTTCCAGCTGCTCCTTCTCCATACGCAGCCTGCAGTATATGTAAAGCGTACAAAGATCTCAGGCTTAATGCACAGATTGCACAATATATGAAAAAATACAGATGATTAAAGAGATTAAAGTGAGTGACACTTTGCCACTCCCAAAACAAGCTGAACTTGCAGAGGCTCTGTCTTGTTTATCCTGTTTTCATGTCAGACTGTTCAACGTTTGTTTAAAATCAAAGAGAGCCTCAAGGCTAACTGTTTTCTGATTTTGTAATATACATAAAAGCTTAAAAAATGTTTTAAGGCCTGTGACATTTTAATAAATTCAGACAAAAATTACAAGAAATTACAAGAATCCAAATATAATGTTAGATCCTCATGAAATGTATGAATTTTAGTGACTACAGATGAATGGAAATATGAAGTTACCTGTCCAGATGTTTTATATTCCTCTCAGTCTGCTCCTCCACTTCAGAGAAAAGCTGGTGAGTGTTTTTGATCTTCTCTTCCAGCTTAATCCCACTGACAGACAGACTCTGGAGGCTCTCAGGTGTGGCTATGGAGGCCAGAACCTGCACATCCTCCAGCAAACTCTGCACCTGTTCCTCTTCAGTGTGGAGCTGCCGACATAATTCCTGCAGGGAAAGATGTTAGAGATTAACATTTTAAAACACTGAAATGTTGTGAGATGATTTGGCCAATTTCAGCCAAATCTCTGGTTAAAACTCTCCCTTGATGTCATGGTAAGCCTTTATGATATTTTTTCATGCACTTTTTTTAACCACGGATAGACTCAAAATATCAGGTAAAATGATGATACACGACTCATAAGGTACAAGGAATGTAAAGGAAGTGAAAAGGGCTGAAAGAAAACCAGAGAGGAATATATCTGCACATAGGATATAAAATTTGCGCACAGGGACATGATTACGGAGGGATGGGGCAGAGATTGAGAGAGAAAATAAGAAAACCTGCCCTTAAAATAAAGACTGAGATCCTATATCTATGTAGACACATTCACTAATGAATAAACAGCTTATGAGAAAAAGTTAAAGGCTCAAAACTAAAAGGGTCTAAATTGGTCAAAGAGTATTTTGGATATATATATGTATATGTATATATATATATATATATATATATATATATATATATATATATATATATATATATATAATTAGTATTGGCAACTTTAGTAACTGAATATAAATAATGGTAATTTTGAGAACTTTATAAAACGAGATATATTTAGTTGCTACTAGCTGCCATTTATCAATCAAACCACTGCTGTTGAGCTCCGTCTATAGATCTTAACCATCAAACTGAAAACATGTCTGCAAAGGGGTTTTTGAGGTGAACGTTTCAAAAAGCATAAAATAAGCTAAGCATGTTTGCAGCCGACATTCAGCTACCTTAAGTTTCCCCAGCACCGTCTCAACATCATGACCAGAGAGATTGTGGAGGGAGTCCTGAATCCTCTGGAGGGAGCTGAGCGATTCTGTCATCCTTTCAGAAATTTGTCCCATAGTGGCCACCATCTGGTTATACACCTCCATACTTTCCAAAAAAAGCTCCTTCACTTGCTCTATTTTCTTATTCATCTGAGTCTCAGCCACCTTAAAAACAGACAAATAAAATCTCTCATAGTATTTTCTACAGCAAAATATGCTCCACATATTTCAGATTGATAAATAATATTACTAAAAAAATATTATATCAGGAATTATTAATTCAAAAAGTCACTTTATTAAATAAAATGTATTAATTTAAATAGATACGATGTAAGGGTTAAAAGTGATGTGCCTAAATATGATTATAAAGGCACAAATGTGTCATAAAAATATAAAGCAGAATGTCTAAAAGAAATATAATTTGAAATGCTACCAGAACATTTTTACATCCATTCATCCATTTCAGCCCCAAAAGCTACCTGCAGCTCCAGAGGAGTCTCTGCGCTTTGAAGCAGCGACTGAATCTCAGCAACTCTTTGGTGGAAACGCTCTGCACTCTCCTCTTGGGTCATAATCTCATTCTGCAGCCAGAGTAAAAGAAGTTAACGTCTTTCAAAAAGTAAGCTGGGGAATCAGAATCAACATCAGTTCATATTCTAGCACACAGATGGGCTCAGTTTTACCTGCAATCTCTTTAAGTCGTCCTCAGTTTGGAAAGATGGACACTGAGAAAGCACAGCTATTCTACTTTTGGTCCAACTCTCCACTTCTTCCCCCATCTGCAGGAGTCCATCCCATATGGTCAAACAAAGATGGAAGTTTTCAAGGTGGGAATCGGTTCTTTCAGATAACTGAAAATAATTATTTTTCAATAACATGTCAGTTATAGAATTAAGAATGAAATATAATATTAGTACAAATTTTAATAAAGATTAGAAATAATTCTAAGACCATTTAGGCTGTAGTTTCTCCTCTTATACAGACTTAGATGTTTTTACAATTTAAATACAAAAACACAGCATTAGCATTTAGCCTAAGGAGGTGAAGGGTCATCCTAATAACGATGCTTGTAGCTGAGATCCGCGTCCTGAGCATTATGGACCCTAATCTGCTTTTTTTTTTAATTCTTAATTGCATCATCCTTTGTCACCCTTCAAAACACAGAAAGAACAGCGAAATATATCAATATGTCTGCAAACTGGTTGAACTTACATCCAGCCAGCGATCCATGAGTGCATCTGCTTCCCTCTCAAATGGAGCAGCGTTGCAGCCTGGGATCTGACACAGGAGAGACTGAAATTGTCTAGAGATACAGCGGACCTCCTCTATGTCATCCCCAAGACCATTCAACTCTTCTTTAGTTTCCTTAACCTTCAGAAACACACACAGATTTTACCTTTGAACCTTCCTCAGATCACACAGAGGTTGACTTTTTTTTTTTTACTAATAAGGGGACTTTGATAAGTAATTGGTTGCATGAATTGTATTTTGGGATATAGAAGTGAAGTGCTAGAGGTATACATGCTTTGCAAGGTAGTGTATGCATAAAGCTAAACATCCTGCTGTACCTTAGAGTTTAGCCTCTGCAGGTAGTCTCTTCCTATGTAGGATGCTTGTTCACCTATGGTTGTCTCAGCCCTCTGCAGAGTGCCACTAAGCTCACTGTGCATGCTCTGAAATTTCCTCAGCAGCTCTGTCAGGAAAACAGTCTGCTCCAACCTGTGTGTAGATCCAAACAAAAACGCATCAATAAAACACATCGACAGAAATGTCACAGCTAAACGTGACTTTATTTTTACCGTTCTGATGTGGCTTTCATCGTCTCCTTCCAGAGACCCTCGGATTCACTGCTCTGGTTCTCCTCTGCAATTCCTGGTTTTGAAAAAGCATCACGTATATACTGTACCTCAGAGCCGAGGTTGGCAAGACGGCTTTCCAGCTCTGTCAAAGCACGCGTCCTACGGAGAAAATTCAGTGGATGTAAGAGGCTACTCACTTTTTTATGTTCATTGCAGCTCTATTTATTTAATACAATAGTCCAGATTATTGTTTGAACACAGATTTTATCACACAACATTTGTATTTATTTAGTAGGTCAGAAATGTGTTGACAGAACCAGCTGAGTGTTGTACCTCTGCTGCAGAGCAGGTATTGAGGCTTCCATTAGCTCCAGCCTCTCTGCTGTTGCCTTGGTCTCTCTCAGCACATCTAATAACGCAGATTTTCTCTGAACCAAACTCTCATGATCATTTTCATCTCTCCCAGCCTGACTGTTGGTGGTTCTTTGCCTCTGGTCTTTGTTTTTTGAGAAACCCTCTTCGGATCCCCAAACCTGAACTTTGTCTCCTTGAAGCTTTTGCATTTCTGATTTATCGTCTCCTTCCTGTTTCATCCTTTTGACCTCCAACATTGATTCTTCTTCTTCTTTAACACTTGTAGCAGACTGGCCCTGGTCTTGCTTTGCTGAATCATTTCTCCATGTATCTTTGAGACCCATATCCTCTCTGTTTTGGATTTCTTTCCTTCTGGATGTCATCTGCTCAAACACAAGGTCTACCAACACCTGACATGTAACAGAAGTACCATCCATGGTCAGAGTCATCCCCATTGCCTTTAAACTATCGTCAATAATATGAGATTTCTCCGTAGCATGCTTCAGTCTCGCCATTGTTGACTGTCCAGATAGTCTTTCCCCTTCTTTATTGGGGTCCCAGTTCGCCATCAGGGTTGGGTTCTCAGCCTTGATGTTTTTCAGGGTGGCCAGGAAGTTATCCAGGTCCCGTATAGTGGACTGAACCTCCTCCAGCTGCTGTCTGAGCTGCTCCAGATGAGAAAAATCACTGAGAAGTGGCTGGCAGAGGGATGGCTGCGATGACCCCCGCTTTGACAGCTTTCCCATTTCCTCCTTCAGTGTTTCGTCAATCTCCTAGGACACACATCAAGGATTAATGCTAATATTTGCATATTTTAATCAGAACTGGTTTAAAATGTTAGTTTACCTTAAGCTCTGAAAACACTGTGGATTCAACCAACACTAAAGAGGAGACGTCCACAGAGCGCCTGACGATCTGATCCAGTTTATGTGCTGTTATTGTCCTCCAATTGTCTGCAGACTCCATCAGGTAAGAGGCTTTTTTCAGAGGCTCTATTTTTCTGCACCAGCGATCATAAAAAAGCCACATTTTAATAATGCATTGTGTTAATCACAGAGTTAAACTATTTTATAAAGAATAGAAAATTCCTATTTTTCACTAAACATAGTTAGATCAAACAAGTTTTACAAAAAGTCTCTGAGTAACTATTTTATTATGTTTGATTCGTTTGTATCATGCAAAACTGAAACAGAAATTTAGAGTTTTAATTGATACTAAAAAAGAAAGAATATCTTTTGTTCTCTACGGTCATTCAGGGTAAATCTGCTAATTTTACATTTTAGCCATAAACCCAAACAAAGACAAACATGTTCACATGTAAAAGACAGTTATGTCTCTGGAAAGCATCTCCAAATCGAGTGAAAGTTTTTGATTCTATAAACTTGATCGTATGTGTAATGTAAGCAACAATATGTCACAGCCTTTAAAGCTCCAGTCCAGCAGGGCAAAGTCCTTCAGCCATCCCAACTCCCACTGATGGCAGCAAGGACACAGTGAGCCTGTGGGAGTCGAAAAGGCATTCGCTGCCAGTCTTTAGGGTCATGCTGACCACAAGTTGGTACTTTTTGGATTGTTCCTTTATAAAGGTTCAGTAAAGTTCGGTTACTGAAACTTGGGAGGCTGGGTCATAAATAACTTCAATTTTCTCATTATGTTAAAACAGTTCTTGTTCTACTGAGTAATTTTAATTATATAGGCTCCTCACTTTTATGGAAAGAAGCTTGCTGTACTACATCTAAAATGGCCTATAATGCAAGGTATTTCTGCAGCACTGATTGACTCTGCTGGCGACCAACACAGGGAACACAGCACATGCAGCAGTTTCTAAAAGTATTCATACCTATTCAACATCATTCCAACACATAAATATGATTTTATGTAAATATCAATATAATAATATAGCTCTGTTTGCATTTACATGGCTTTTGTGAACCTTCTTATTAATTTGAAATCTCTTGCATGCTCTGATGGGTTTTCTTATTCATTCTCCCATTAGAACTCTGCATCTCTGCAGCTCCTCCAAAGCTACCACTGTGATCTCCATCTGCCTATCTAATAAATGGTCTCTTTATTGTGAGTTTAGATGGAGGGCTATTAACCCTTTAAAGCCCGATCCAAGAATAAAACAAAACAGAAAATTACTTTTTTTGGTTTGAAGTCCTTATTTGGACTTTTACCAAAATATGTAAAAAGTAAAAACAGAAATACGTTTTTGATATTAATAATTTATTACTATGCGATAAGTCAAGATTATTTTTTGTGTAGTCTTCTGCCCTCTGTTATCAGGTATATCTGATTGTGTACAATAGGATTTTAAGCAAAGTTTTTACCATTAAATTATGCAAAAGGTGTCAGACGCAAAACATTTCAGAAACCGTATGTATCAAATATGCTACATTTGGCATTACAGGGTTAATGCATGCAGTACAGTTCTCTGTGAGATATTTAAACCTTGGATTACATATTTTCATAACTTAATCCCTCCTCTTATTCCTGGTTTATCTGGTGTCCAGGATTTTATGTCGGTGTATGGGAATAAATGGAGGCAGATTCCCCCCCCCCCCCGTAATTGGCAGTTATGCCGTTATGTCTATCACATTGAAATACAATAAAGTATCCTACAGTATTTTATTGTAACCTGACAAAATCTAAAAAGGTTTAAGCTGTATGAATAAATGTGAGAGCAGAAATTCTCTTAAAGCTAAATGACTGAACACATGAGAGATGACAGAGACGTACTCCAAAACTCCTCATTAATCTAGATCTATATTTTGCATCTAGTACTGTAACTCCCCAAAACTGATCGGAGAATACAAACTACTTAATCCTTGCCTTCCTTGTGGATCCTCTTTAGGAGGGGGCTCCATCTGTGTTAGGACAGCTGGTTCTGGGATGACGGTCCATTCTGCCTCCTGTTTGCTCTCCACAGTGTTACTCCTAACAACTGCCTGGAAGATGTGAGAGAAGCATAGTAACAGATCATCGAATCAACAAGGAAAAGATGGAGCAGTGTGCGACTGCTGTTACTGTCTGCTAAAGGGTCATGCATAGGTCAAGCACGGGCAGTGAAACTACTGAGTGGGTTTTTATTGGACGGATTTATGTAAATTAAGATATAACTAAATAAAGTACACCAGATTTATTTTATTAGGATAAATATTGAAAGTCTTCCCATAAATTCGGACCAAAGCATATTTCTTTAGAACTTACCCAGATTTATAAAAAACTATTGGGTTCAGTTCATTCTAACCAAACAGTAAGATCAAAACTGACCAATTGCTTATAGTTAAAAAAGTTATAATTGTAAATTAAAAAAACATTTAAAATAAAAACTTCAGGACTAAGAAACAAATTCTTTAGAATCAAAGTGTATAAAGAATCCATCTATCTGCAAAAATCTTATTATTTATATAAGAATGAACAAGTTTCTCTCTTGGCTGAAAGGAAAGAATTAACTTCTGTTGTTTATTCTTATTTAATAAGGCAAACTTGAAAAACTCTTAAATGATTGAATGACTTGGGATGCTTGCCTTTTGATCTAAAAACATATAACATCAAAGAAAATCTATTGATCAAGTCTTTGCTATAAAAAAAAAATCCAGATCATAATAATGGTAACAAAGGAAACCTTGTATGAAAGGACAAATTAAACATCAGGTCGAAACTGAGGGCGTAAACTTAAGGTTTGCATATCGCAAAACAGAGAAAATCTTTAAAGTTATTTCTGTTTGTAAAACAGCAGAGTGGTGTGCAAACCTTGTTTTTTTTTCCCTTCAATTTTGATATTCTAATGAACAAACTGCACCTACGTCAGGAAAATAAATGGCACTGTTTCGCTATCCATTAAAGTCAGCAATGGCCAAATCTGGCTATAGGGATGTTGTCACATAAAGAGGAAATGCCTAACTGGATACAATTAAATTAGATTTTTTTTTATAAAACATAAGCTATAATTAAATAAAAGCTCAGGATCACAATCAAGGCTGAAGACGGCAACTAGTAAAGGACAAATGAGAAAAACAACAAGGATAGAGGCTCTTCAAAGAATTAAAAAAGTGAACATTTTTCAAAATAGTATTTGTTCATTCCTTAAAACTTTTCAGTTGTTTGTATTTAACACGTGGAGATTAAAAACAAAAGTGAAAACAAATAATATTAGTTATATCATTATGTTATTAAGTAAGCCGTTAACTGTTGGATGCAGCTTAAAGCAAAAAAAAAAAAAACAGTTCTGGTTACTTAACGCTTACAGTAAGAGAAGGATGGATAAGATGTGCAAAGCATCATTCGAAAGTTTAATCTACAAAAAAAAACTAAATTTTTAGATGATTACTAGAAGAAAACATGTTTTACTTTATCTTATATGTATATAGAATGAAAAATACTGACATTAAACTTCTTAACCATGTAAATAAATAGAGCTTCAAAGCTTACAGAGATCGATCAATTACACAAAGAAAACAATTTATTTCATCATACCTGTATGTGACTTTGTGCTTGCTGATTGCTCTCTGGAAGGTGCAGCAGGCGAGCTCGCAGCAGCTGCTCTTCAGCTCGTAGTGAAGGCTTCTCCTTTTTCTCCCACCCGTCTCCTTGGCTCTGCATCAGGTGGTCCGTCTTCCCTGATGGGACGTCCTGAACTCGCAGCTGGAGGGCGTCATCGAGTCTTTGAGCATGCACTCCCTTGCCTAAGGGCAAGATGTCTTGTTGTGCCCTGTCAAGGCTCTGCACTGGAGTGAGACTGCAGCTCGGCTGCATGTCGGCCAGACTCAGTGGGGTGTTTACCTCAAGCTGCCGTCCCCTGCTGAGATAAGAGATGTACATAAGGAGGAGGCCAGGGGGAGTCAGAGCTGCTCAATACAACAGACATTTCATTAAGTTTGTAGACAGCAGGGATTAGAAAGATAAAAGTAAAAAAAAAATGTTTTGCATCATCTAAATCAATAAGCTTAATGATTTATTTTTTCTCAGATCTGCAAAATTTACATCGGTAAACCTAAAAGTGGTTAAACAACACTTGTCTTATTTGTTAATATGCAGTAAGAAAGGACTATAATGTGAATGATATAATTAGAGATCACCTAAAAAACAGAGAGCTAATAAAATCTACAACAAGCTGATTAAAAAAAAATTGAGACCGAAATAAAAAGAAGAAAAGCAATTTATTCTAACACAATCAGGAGAAGGAATTCAAGCTGTGATCAGTTAGTAAAGCTATAATCCGAAAACGAAAAGGTCTGGAAAACAAAACAGCGAATTTTATCACTGGGATCCAAAACATGGAAATTGGTTAAAATACAGGAGTTAGCAAAAAAATTAGATCAAAATGGATCAAAGTAATAAAAAAAAAATGACGAGTTAATCCAAGATCCAAACCAGAAAAATATCAAATAAAAAATGACACATCCCATTACGGCTTTCTATAACTCAGCACATAACTGTGTGAAAGCATTTATTTCATGAAAGTATGAATTTTGCTCTTTTTCTGTATTAGAAATTTATATGGGCAGAAAATCATAAACTAAGCTCATATTTTATTGTAAATAAACTGATTAAAAACACAACATTCTGGCAAGCCTTAAATGCATGTTTAATCATGACAGTAAGTTATTTCTGTGCTATTCTACTCCAGTTTGAAGAGCGGCTAAATGTCTGAATGTCATTCATTTTCACAATCCAGGAAAACAGGAAGCTGTGGATTACAAAATAATTGTTCCTAGAAAATTTACTAAACTTTGAAGCATAAATATAAAAATGTCTTTTTTACAATTTGCATGACTTGCAAGTGTTGCAACAAAATGCAGTGGACACTGCTCAGCCTGTTTTTTCTTTCTGTAGATAAGCAGTATCTTACCTCTTAGGCAGGAATGTTGCCAAACTAAGTTGGGTTTTCTGCTCTTTGTCAGGTTCTGTCTGTGGGTCTGTTGGCAAGTCGGGGGATTTCTCTAGTGTCAGGGTTTCACAAAGTTCTCCAAGGACTTGAAAACGTTCCTCTATTGACCCAGTCCCCTGGGTAACGTCCTAGAAATAAGGAGATAAACTTCTCTTAAAATGAGAACAACCTATAGCTATTAATACTTTTTAATTAGCAATAGGTGCTGCAGTAATGTTAAATTCCTGTTAGTACCTGATGGCCGTGCTGCAAGGAACTGAGGTCAGTCTGGTCAGCAGCTTCATGCAGAGCATTAGTAAAAGTTATACCAACAGAAAATGGCTGCTCTACTTTGATTTTACATTTTTGGATGGAAATAAAGTCAGCCATTTCCCGGCGCACACCCTGAATGTAACAAGAAAGGAGATGCTTACTATTGTCTCTTAGGCTTGTCGACATTATTATGTTAGTTTATCTTTATTTCACAGCAGGTCAGTACACTATATTAGAATCACACATTAGAATTTAAAACATCCAAGGTGAGTTTAAAAACCTTGTATTATGTTATTTTAAATCTTAGGCAGAATAACAATGTTTATCTTTATTTCACAGCAGGTCAGTACACTATATTAGAATCACACATTAGAATTTAAAACATCCATGGTGAGTTTAAAAACCTTGTAGTTTGTTATTTTAAATCTTAGGCACAATAACAACGTTTATCTTTTGAATTTTTATTGTACTCTTTTCATTTCCTGTCATACCTCCCACTGGTTTCTGACTGAGTCAGAGAGAAGCATCAAGTCCTGGAGCTGCGGCCCTGAACAGAAGGCCCCAAAAGCTTCCACTGCCCCCAGAAACTCCTCGAGCATGGCAGGCTGAAGAATGTTAAGAGCTTTCTGCACAGAAAAACAAACAGCTGAACACAAATATCTCACATATTTCAGAATGTTTCCTAAACCCAGAGCTTTAATTTGATATAACCTTTTCCAGGGTTTATAAAGAGAAGCAGCAGGTAGGTTCAAACACATTTTTTTTTTTAAATGCATTAAAATAAAATTGGTTGAATTCAATCCATCATCTACCTGTTTTTTCTTGATGTGTGACTCAGTCATCTCTCTGCCACCGAATAATTTTATAGCTTGCTGTATGCGTCCCTGCAGGCGAACCCTGGCCTTCTCCAGTCTGCTCCTGGCCATCGACTGGGCTTTAGAATGAACCTCACTGCGGATCATCGGCGGTGGCTGGGTTTGACTTGGTGCCAGTTTGATGTTTGGTTGTGACGCTGTTCCCGACTTTTGTTTGATACTTTGACCGTGTGAATAAGATGCACGCTTCGTTTCCACTGTAACTGACCCTGCTGCATGTATAGACAGAGCAGGACGTTCAGTTTGAACAGAACACTGATGCTGGCGTAATGGTACCATGACAGGCTCAGGCGTGGTTTTTATTTCCACCAGGGATACAGTCCCTTTCCTCTCCTCTGTGCTTGATGGCTGGAGTTTTGAAACCTGCGGACGTGTTGTTCCCTGATCAGGAACCTGAACCAGTTCTGGAATTTGCCGTTTAACATTAACAATCTGTTTGGTTCTGGCCTGAACAATCTGTTTGGTTCTGGCCTGAACATATGACCCAGTTTGTGGATGGAGAGTTTCAGACAATTGTATCTGTTCACAGAAGTCACCAATTTGCTTCTTGAATCCACAGGAACTTAACTTTTCAAGTATCTCCTAAACAAAATTAAAGTGATATTAATCATATTTCCCACAGTAACTTATTGATCAAGTGTCGTTTAACGGATTCAACTTACTTGAGTTTGAGAGACGGTGGCTGCAATCCGGACCTGCATGTCAGCTGTACTTAAATGTTGCAAAGAGGCTTTTTGTTGCTCAGAAACAAAGTCTTCCAGGCACTGCCACTCAGCTACCACCTGCTGTGTTAGCATCATCCCACGAGAGATTAACACCTATAAAGATACAGTGGAATTAATATATTAAACAAATCCAAAACACTAAGGTTGGTGTTTCTAAATTAGATTTTGTTGTCGCTAACTTTGGCAGCAGAATCAAATGCAGAGCGCCCTCCTTTGCGTTTCTTTTCCATCAGCTGCTCATAACAGTCCAGGGCTTCTGTGCTCCAGTGATCCAGTTCAGCCACACATCCTTCAAGTTTGGATGCTCCTCTCTGCAGTTCCCCACACAACCTTTCGGCTTCAGCAAGCTGATAAAAAAAACACAAGGGATCAAATGTCCAGTTAAAACCGTCCACCTGAATGATCAGTTCTTTATCAGATAATGAACACGACAAAGCTAAATCTACACAAGGCATGGCTTCCCATTTAAACTGACAGGACAGGAAAGTAGAGCAATAATCAGAAAAGAAGCCAAAGCACAACAGTGGTGACCCTGGAGGAGCTGCACAGATCCATACCTCTGGTGGAGAAACTAACCAAGATCTCCTGAAACATATTCTCTAGTGGCAAGAAAAAAAAAACTTCCTTAAAGAAATCTATACCCGTTGACTTTAAAGTTTAGCTTAAGTCTTCTTGATGTTTAATGATTATGGAATAGCATATTTTGCAAAATAAAACAATCAGAGCTACAATAAATTTGCTCAGCAAAAGAACTGACTCCAGGAGCCACATCATGCTTTATTGTTTATGATTTTTGAGAAAAACAAAGTAATTTTCCTCCTGCAAAAACATTATGTACTACTTTGTATTGGTCTTTATCTTTAAATGTGTTCAGAATACGTTCAGGTTTGTGGTTTTAAGGTGATAAAATGTAACCCGACTCCGCCAGATGGATTTGCTCCGCATATCCATCTGGAAACCTGCCTTGAAGGTTGAAGTAATTTTGGAAAGGGGTGAAAATACTGGTTAGCTGATTGGCCTATGTTGGTGATAGACGGGCCAAATAAACCAATCAGATCAACGAAGCATATGACGTACTAACAGCCAGGCTACTCTTGCCGAAACCAGTCGGGAAAAGAGCAAAAACATCTTTTCCTCTGAGAAAAGCCTCCAGAGCAGTGTTTTGCTCTTCTTTCAGTGAAGAAATACTCTGTAATTCCGATAAAACTTGCTCGATAGCCACGCTAACGCTAGTTTCATCGGCTGAAGCCGCCATGTTCTTTAGACTGAACTGTTGCGCTTCTCGTTGCGTCACACCTTAACCCGCCTCAAAGCCAACGCTGATTGGACGTTCGTTTGGTGAACGGCTCCAAATTTTCTTCAACGGAGAGTCTCCAGACTGATTAGCGAGTGAAATCTTGAAAGCTCGCGAGATCAGGATGATCTCACGAGGCTAGATAAAATGTGGAATAGATCAAGAAGTGAAAGTACTTTAGCATTTCCTATCTAACTTCCATGTTAAAGGTATAGTGGAGGATGATCTTTTTCCGGGTGGATCATCAAAACGATGACCTAACACCATCATTCTGGTGATATGTTTATGTAAGGTCGTCCTACGGGCTCATCCCCATTTTCACTGACCGGGGGTGAGTTTGACATAGTGGAAAAATTGCAAATCTTCCTTTGGAAAGTAAGCTTGTATGAGCGATGCCAACAGCAACTTTAAAACAGAGCATGCGTGAGGAGAAATGGGCTCATGCATGCTCTCACATGAGTTAAATAGGCGTTACCTCTTGGGAGCGGTTAAAGGGTTGTGTATGTGCATTTGTTTTTACAGTGGAGAGGGTGGGTCATTTAAAAAAATGCTAAATCATCCGATATACCTTTAAGAAATGTGTAAAAAAAGTATAAGACAAAAAAACCTTTAGGAGAGTTTTCTTCAGGTTTTCTTTAAGGGGTGTTTGAAGGTCTGCAGAAGGGATGTTAGACGACACATCTACCTCTCCAAGCTTTGTTCTCATGGACTGACAAAAAGAGCAAAGATGGAAATGATACTTTAACTTTGTAACAAATATTTAATGAAATCCACCTTTTCAAACCTGCTCACCTGTAGTTTTTGTCTCATATCCTTCAAAGGGACTGAAGATACCTCCAGTGGCAGTCTCATGAGCAAGTTAGCCTCTTGTATTAATGAATCTGACATCTGGATAGAAGAGGAACCAACTTTGGGTACTGAAAGTACTTCCTAAAAACAAACAAACTCATATCAATCCTCAATGTTATTATTTCACTAAACAAAAGAAATTTTCTATATTTTGTAATAAGGCAATGTTGGCAAAATAGCCACAGAACTCAGAATTAGCATGCAAACTTACAAACACAGTCTTTTTCATGCGTTCAGCCCACTGCAGGTTGACTTTGCTGATTTGTTTCACCAAAGTGACTCTAACCGAAGCTTCTGTCATTTCAATAAGGAAGTTTCCCACCTCATTTAACTGAGCATGACATGAAGCCCACTCGCTCACACCCTAGAACAAAAACATTTTAAAAAGTAAATCCAAAGCCACTCTTTAAGGATTTCTGCTTTATATATAAATTTGGGATAATCCAACAGATGTTACCTGCGTTTCTGCAGCTGTAGATTGAGCCAGCCATGCCTCAAGAGAAGAAAGGCTCTTACTGTACACATCCCATGCAGACACCACTCTCTCCATCATTTCCTTAGCAGTCGCCGTACTCTGTTTCACCTGCTCTGCTTCGCTTTCTGCTTCCTTCACCTGACGAGTGACACGCTGGGAATTTCCACCTGGGAAACAAAGTGTGTGGCAAAATAAAGCATTGCTTCTTAAGAATGGATAAAAAAAAAACTCTTTAATGACAGTGGTTAGTCTTTGATTGTAGTCATATTCAGTAAACTACAAAATGGATTGGATTAGACTAATTTTTTAGATTAAACATATCTTTTTTTAAGATCTAACGTCTGAATTATAAATGCTTTTTATTGGTCTGATGTAATATTTTAATCCTTAGTTTGATGTGTTCATGATTTGTAAGCTTATTATTGTCATAAGTAAAAGAAATATATGGATCTAGAAGAGTCTCAAAGTTAACAAGCTAACATACTATGTGTGATCAACACAAGCACACCAGATCCACACATGCACATGATGATTCAAGCAAGCAAACCAAATTTGCACACTGTTCCAGTGACTGGCTTATAACAAATCAATGGCCACATGGTTCATGTTCCTGGGATTTGCTGAAATAATTAAGTTATCTAATTGTTGATGTAATTAAAGCTGTAGTAATTGTTTCATAGTAATTGTTTCATAGCTAGTTTTTAAAAAAAATGCATTAGTCACATCAGGGGAGTCTAAAAAATCCACACAGAAAATTCAGTGAAGTTAAAACACAACAGTTAGTGTAAAAACCACTATATAATCATATGTTCATCCCATGTCTTGTTTCACTTTGTTAAAAAGTTGATGGCAATATTGAGTTTTGAAAAATAGCTTAAACTGTTTTATATGAATTTATTTTCAATCAAAATATAAACCCTCTTCATGCTAATTAAACTGTTCAACATTTTAGTTTAACATTTTAATTTAACATTTTTAAGTTGGATTTT